AAAACCTTTATGTTACTGGGAAAGTAGAAACTGGTCATCTGGATGTAAGATACTAGCAGATATTAAGAAGAGACCAGCATCCCTGAGGTGAAATCTGCCTCGAAGTGTTTCTTGAGATCACAGAGAAGCTGTGTTCTAGAGGCAGCCTTGGTTGTTCATGATAGGGCAGCCAAACTTGGTAATGTGTATGACTGACCCAGGTGGTACTGGTTTTGAAGGCATGAAGGGGTCATGAAGATCAGGAGAGAATTGACACTGTGAGAGGAAAGCAGAGGCCATTGGTTATGGTGCACCTTTAATGGCATTTGAAGGCTCAGGACTGAAGGGGTCTTGCAAAGAATTCATGGCTTGGCATGATGAGGAGAGCCTATGAGAGGATTTTGGTGAAAGTGTAGCCCAGTTGCAGCAGAGAAGCCCTGTGTCTTGGAGATGCCAGTGCAGGGGAATGACCACCAAGAACAACAGTAGTTGTGGAGAGGAGCCAGTGTACTGCAGAGTTCAGAGCCAGAGGAGTGACCCCAGCCCTTTGGAGATTATAGAACAATGTGAATGGATCCCAGATATTGGAGGGTTCCAATTTTCATTTTGCCTTGATTTGATCCAGACTGTGTCCTGATTCCTCCATATTGAAGTTATTTTACTGGAGCCCATACTTGAGAGACTTTTAATTTAAAAAGACTTTGGATTTAAAGAGATCGGTTTTTTTAAGGGAGGAAAATTTAAGTATTGAATTTGTAAAGATTGTGAGACTTTTAAAGTTATTTAAGATGTTGTTGATGAATAAGAAAGGATAGGATGTGGCTTAATATTGATATGTTTGTGTTTCTATTTATAAGTGGTCAGGTATATAGCTGGGTTTATTTTGTCAACTTGACACATGTTATAGTCATCAGATGAATGAGCCTCAACTGAGGAAATGCCTCGATGAGATTCAGCTGCAAGGCATTTTCTGAATTAGTGATCAATGTGGGAAGCACACCATGGTGGGTTGTGACATTCCAGGGCTGCTGGTCCTAGGTTCTATTAGAAGCTGGGCTGAGCATGCCAGAGAAAGCAAGTAAGCAGTTCCCCTTCATGACTTATGCATCTGGGAGGCAGAGCTAGACAGAAATCCATGTGTTCAAGGATACAGCCAAGCATGGTGCCTCATGCCTTTAATCCCAGAAAGCGTGTCTTTAATCCC